CATGCGCCATTGCTATCATGTCAACAGGGGATGTGGGGGCAAGTGTCTTGTAATGGCTAACATCTGTGGAGATAAACAAGTTAGGATTCAGCAGGTGTCCAGTTCAACCAGCCAATTCAGGGCACAGCTGGGTTACGCAAACATAATGTCATCACCCCTGCTCAGCCAGAGATATGCTAGTGTAACTCCCTCTTCCCGGCTGAACCGAGGCTAAACTGGATGAACTGAGAGTGAGGGATCTATGCTGGATACTAACACATCTTGGTCACATGACCTGGTGACCTGGCAAAATTTACGCTGCCAAAAAGGGTGGCATAAGTCAAACTCTACTTTAAAGGCTTGCTCTCCTTCTGCCAGACATGGCAGCTCAACTAGCAGGAGCCCCATTCCTGAATGGAGATTAGATCTGGCATACTTTATGCCATCTTAACTTAAACCAGCATAAATTCCATTGGCTTCTCATATTTAGAATTGCTCCCTGAGCTGTGACTCAGGAAATCCCTGGCTCAGATCTCATCCCTGATATGAATTCACCTTAGGCAAGCTACTGTTCTTTTGCCCTCAGCTGCTCATCTGTAATATGGGGATAAAAACACTGGCTAACAAAATCGTTTTAAGGATTACGGAAATAGTATAAAATGTTAATGCTAAATCTTATTATAACTGCAGGTATCCAAAGGAAGAATGTGTTATTTATAGCCATAAAATTCGAATGGTGTGCTAGGTTATAAAAGGGGTTGGGGCTGAAGGACTTTAGAAATTGTAGAGGATAAAATGGACCGAAGATGCTGCAACCTAAATATAAGGCTCCTGATGAGGACACAAACAGTCTGAAGGTGAGGAACAGAGTGCATGAATTTAAATAGCTCAGTTCTGTGATGCAGAGGGAGGCTGGAACAGAGAATGATCAAAAACAGATTCATAAGGCATGGATTAAATGAAAATGAAAAGAAAAAAACACACGAGGTGCCATGTGATAAAAGGCTGCCTCTAATGCTGAAAAGTTAACTTGCAAGGAAAGAATGTATTGGGAAGAATATTGAGCAAGCAGGAAGAAAGGCATTGTTAAGTAGCAACAGAGGCACAAATGCTATGTGGTGCATACTGGAATGAACAGGAACACAATCTGAAATAAATTGAGAGAGCACCATGGTTTGACAGCAGTCCCTACATTACAGTAATGATCCAGATGTCTGTGAAAGCATTTGCCCAGTCCCCTCTGGGAGGGAAAGGTAATCTGCTGTCCTTCGGGAAATTGAAACCCTGACAAACGCCTCATCCCCCCAAGAACAACAGCAATGGGAAGAATAATGTCCTTGTCTCCCACCACTCAGGAACCCTGGTGACTTCAGAAGCCAGGGCACCAGTAATCTTCCTCTGCCCAATCTCCTATTTGCATTTCAAATTCCCCGCCCTTGTGGACAAGCTGTTTACATCGATTTGGGCACATCGAGAGATCAGGCGGTGACTATGGCTGGAACGCTGTGTTTCCTTCATGGGCTGCTCCTACCAGTGGTGGAGATTATTCTTGCCAGTTTGCCCTTCTCACTGCAGCCCTCCTCCCTTGCCCCCCCCAAATCTTCTCCAGAAGTTTGGGGGCATGTTGGGTGACTCAGGAGGTACACTGGGAAGGGTTACCAGCAAAAATGGGCTCCTCCACTTCTGCTGGAGGAAAGCTCTGTTGGATTGAAAACTGTGAAGGAAAGGGACCATTAGGTTCACAGAATCCTAGTTAGGGTATCATCATATTGTTACAAAAGTTGGGTGCCACCCCTCACTCTTTGCTGAGCAGTAGCAATATTCCAGGGGGGTTCCAGACACTCTCCCAAGGTCTGTGTTCTTTTGAAGAAGAAGAGTTTGGATTTGATATCCCGCTTTATTACTACCCGAAGGAGTCTCAAAGCGGCTAGCAATCTCCTTTCCCTTCCTCCCCCACAACAAACGCTCTGTGAGGTGAGTGGGGCTGAAAGACTTCAGAGAAGTGTGACTAGCCCAAGGTCACCCAGTAGCTGCATGTGGAGGAGCGGGGAATCGAACCCGGTTCACCAGATTACGAGTCTACCGCTCTTAACCATTACATCACACTGGTGAAGAATTGAAGATGCAGCGGAGGCTGTCATGGCTTTAAGAAATATGATTTAGTAGCATCTTTACACCTGTGTTTGGATGGAGTCCAGATCTTGCAGCATGGCTTCCTAATCCTTCCACAGGTGGTAGCAGTTCAATGAAGGGCTGAGCAACTTAACCGTTTGAACCTTAACCTTAAAACCTACACAAAGTTATCAGACTTTGCCATAGCAAACTGGCACTCAAGTTCTTCTTCCACTTCCCCATAAGTACCTGTAGTTGGCTGCTGAGTGAAGAGGATGCAGGATTAGGTGAGTGCTTGTTCCCTAAATGTTTGGCTCTTTTGATGTTTTTAGGTTTTCAAGAGGCAAGTGGCTTAATCCTCCCCACATATAACTGGAATGAAACAGAAATGACTTGGTCTGGAATAAGGCAGCTTCCCGTGTCACAATACCCACGTTGCCAGTCCCGTACTCTGAGCCAGGAAGGTGATGGACCATGAATCTAAATGAACAATACACTCTGTTTCACCCCTGTGGTCTCTCAACCACTCCACTCCCACTGGAAAAACCGAGTCATGAAATCTGCTCAGAACAGCTCAAAGTTTGACAAAAGTGATAGCTGGCCTGGGACAGTTTTTGCAATGCCTGAAAGTACATTTGAAAGAAACTGCTCAGTGTGTTAGCTAATATTTATGTACTGTGAAGCCAAGGAAAGCAAGGACTGGCAGAGAGAGAGAGAGAGAGAGAGAGAGAGAGAGAGAGAGAAGAGACTGCCAAGCAAGCCACCTGGAGTTTTTCATGTGATTGAGCTCAGTCTCCTTCCAGAAACAGAGCTCACTATGTTCCAGATAACCTGTAAGCTACCCGTGATTTGTTCCCATTCATGGACAGGAATAGTAAATGACCCACCCCTTTAGTTCCTAAGCTTTTATAGTGCGGGCTTCTTCATTTTTATGGCAGCCAAACAAATGTTTATATTGGTGGATGGTACTCAGATGCTTAGGATAGTTCCATTGTTTTTGTTGACTTTTATTGCTTCATCTGGTGGACAAGAAACCAACAGAGCTTTTTCTGAGGCTACTTAACTTTGGTATATCTCAGATGTAACCTGCTTCAAAAGAAATACTTGTCAGCGGGCAGAGTACCATTAAAGCGCTTGTGTATGTCTCTCCTAATTATGCTGTCACAATAGTGGGTGCTAGTGACCAGCATCCCTGGCTGTGGTGGCTATTGCTCCAAGCAGAAACTGGTTGCCTTGGTTGCACCCTTTGAATTTCCCATCATGCCCCAGAGCTGGCTTGAGGATCCCTTTTTCAGCCCAAACGTGGCATTCCCTTCTGGGCAGCCTTCCGAGTGTCACACGGCAAGGATAGGAAAGTGGGTGGAGCAACAACTGTGAATCTCACCTTTGCATAGTAATAATAATACAATAATTTATTTATTTATACTCCGCCCATCTGGCTGGGTTTCCCCAGCCACTCTGGGTGTCTCCCAACAGAGTATTAAAAACACAATAAAACATCAAACATTAAAAGCTTCCCTAAACAGGGTTGCCTTCAGATGTCTTCTAAAAGTTAGATAGCTGTTTATTTCCTTGACATCTGATGGGAGGGCGTTCCACAGGGCAGGCGCCACTACCGAGAAAGCCCTCTGCCTGGTTCCCTGTAACTTCACTTCTCGCAGGGAGGAAACCGCCAGAAGGCCCTTGGAGCCGGACCTAGTAGAATAGTTTCTGCACCCACCCACCCACCTTCTTCCTCCATCCTGTGTCCAGCAAGCAAGAGGCATTGTCAGGGTTCAAGGACACAGGCAAAGCACTCAGTGGGAGAATGTAGCAAGATCACAGCAAATTGTGGTCTGGGGAGAGACAGTGTAGCTGTGGAGTCTCCTGGAGGGCGGGGGTGGGGGCTTGGAGGACCACACCTGGGTTTTCCATCCCTGCCCCAGAGTGACACCAAAGGCTGGGCAGATCAAGTTGCCTGAAATTGCTTGGGCGTGTGGGGTTCGGAATAAGAAAAAATAAAAGTCTGGCTCAAAGCCAGCATCAGCATGGGACCCCCTGCCAGCACTCCGTGGCTGCCAAGTGTGGTCCTGTTAAGTCTACAGCAAGCATAGTATCTCTTCTGGTTAGTACACACATATCTTTGCATTGCTCTGGCCAAATCTGGTGCTTCTGTTTCTTTTCTTCTTTGACGGTTTCACACTTTGTGAAACTCGCCTCCGATGCAGCCAGCGCCAAAGCTCCAGAAACTTGCTCTGTGATTGTGTAAACACTTGACTCATCATGCTGTAAAGCAGTTGCCTTGGGCAGCAGGTTCCACAGGGAACCTTGCCTCCAATGTCCATCTCTCTCTCTCTCTCTCTCTCTCTCTCTCTCTCTCTCTTTCTCAAAATGTCTGTGTGCCAATGCAAAGCGAGATGGTGATTGATTTAGTGCCAGCGATGTACTAGGTGTTGCACAAAATGCTGAGCTGTCTCAATCTGGGCCAGAGAGAATTTTCAGAGCCAGGCTACACCCACCCATTTCCCAATTCAGGGAATGTGCTGTCTGGGGCTGATGGGAGTTGTAGTCCAAAACATTTGGAGGATGAAATATACTCAGAGTTGAGTGTGGATTTCATGCTCTTTATTCAGCTCATAGTAGTGAGGAATGAATGTTCCCCCAAAATATCTGCTTTATATACATTATTTACACAATGGGCCACACGTGATTGGCTAATTCCGGAATTCTCCTGTAGGCCAATCAGGTTGTGGATTCACTTCCATCTGGAGCTGGATTGGGTGGCTCCTGTGTACCAATCATACTGCTGCATTGTTCTAGGACCAATCAGACTGCTGCATTCTGAATCCCATTGTTCTAGGACCAATCAGACTGCTGCATTTTGGATCCTATTGTTCTAGGACCAATCAGACTGCTGCATTTTGGATCCTATTCAACTCAGTACATAACAGAGGACACCAGGCTGGGGGACGCTGCTCTAAGGATTAAATTCCCGTGAACACAATGGGGCTGACTTTTGAAGGGAGTGTAGGTTTGGTTTTTTAGATCAGGTAGATGAGGAGATGAGCCGGTAGAAGATGATGCAGAAAAGGTGAAGCTATCACTGTCCAGGATTTTTGAGAAGGATTAAAAGGAAGAAATAAAAGTAGCTGGACAAATGACAAGTGGTATGAAATAAAATATTGATGTCATCAATAATCTGATGACACCCAGCAATATCTCTCCTCCTTAAATCCTGGTGAAGCCATGAATTACATGAATGGAAGTTGCACGTTTAAGAAGGAAAGAAAGGGGGCTGAAAGCAGGAATGGAATGTGGAGGGCAACAAAGGTAGATGAGATTGCTGATATAGCCAGGATTTAAATCCACAGAGCATGAGGTTTAAAGCATGGAATTATACAGAAGAAGTGAAGTTTCCCAGTATCCCGGACTGGGAAAGTGAGATGCAAACTTAAGCAGCATTTGGAAGAAAACTGGCTAGAAATGCAATTTCAACTTCTCTGCACTCCCCAAAAAGGAATAGGGCTGATCTGCACTACACAGATTTATCAGTATTATACCAGCTTCTTGAGGTTACTACCAAAGAATCCTGAAACTTGTTGTTTGGTGAGGGTTCTGAGAAGTTTCTTTTACGGTGTAATTCTACTCAGAAGCAAGCCTTACACTCATTTTAGTGGGACACACCGCCAGGGTAAGTGTGCATATAGGATTGCCGCCTGAAAGATCTATACCCCAATACTGGTGAGAGACAGTGTGATGTGGTGGTTAGAGTGTGGGACTAGGGCCTGGGAGGCCAGGGTTCAAATTCTCAATGCCTGTGAAGTTCACTGCCTCTCAGACTGACCTACCTCATTGGGTTGTTGAAAACATGAGGATTAAGTGAGGATCAACTAGATCATATACAAGTTTCAGGTTGCACCTGAGATTGCTGGGACAAAGCACACATGTCCACACACACACACACACTGTCTGATCCACCGTTTTTGAAAAAAAATCCAGCAGTTTCCCAGTCTCTAGTCGGAAGTGAAATGCACACTGGTTCCTTTTCAAGTGGAGGACAGAAGTTAAACAGGGCATTTGTAACAGGCATTGTAAAAGTATTGCCCAACCGTGGATTTTGGAACTATGGAGCAACATGGCTTCCTTTGCTTTCTCTTAAACCAGTGGTCTGTGATGCAGACGTGCCCTCCGTCTTAATTCCAGCAGACAAGGCTAACAATGCTGCTGCTTCTCCATTCTGAATTACATTTCGAGGTTGCCGGGTGAAGCGGGGGATCATTCTAGGTAAAAAGCTTTCACAATAAGCTGATGAATAGCCAGCACCAGTGCATTGCCTTCCCCTGCAGCCATGTGAATATGTGTGTTTTATAAATATCACAGAAAGGAGTTATTTGCTGTGCTGCTTACTGAGGGTGGCATTATACAACACTTCAGAAAAGCACCCGACAACAACCCAAGACTCTCAAAAGGTCAGAGAGCTATAAGCTGCTCTCCCCACTCCCCGAAATGTTAACAAGACATTGACACACGGTTGTACCTGCTCTATGAAATCTTCTGTGGTCAGGGATAAGTGGTATATTGTAAGAGGCAATGAATCAACTAAACTGCATAAGCTGGAGATTTTAGGATGAAGGATGTTTGTTTATGACTGAATGACCAGTTCGGTATTTCTCCCAGTTATCCTTAGTGCCGTTATTAGGAGGAGGAGAACCACTTATTTATGGATCCTAAAACCTTCATTTTCTGCACTAAATGGCTTCTTAGTGGCTGGAGCGGGTTTTTTAAAAAATAAAATAATAATCTTGGCATTTGAGATCATTTGGATTCATTGCTGGGTCATCACCCATTCCTAAAGCATTTACACCCTTTAAATACAAATAGAAAGCACATTTCAAAGAATTGCTCTCCCAAGAATACTCAGGCTGCAGAATAAATGAACTGAACCCTCTATAATGCCAGAGACTGGATGACAAGAGAGGTCTGGAGATACTTGCAGAAACCTGTGCGGAAATTCACATTCTTTAGAACCTTTTGAAAATGGCTGGAATATGTACAGTAGGTCCACATTTGTACATATAAATTTGGCTATATTTGGGTTATCTGGGGACTTCTTCCAGAGGCCTGGCCCATTTGCTGCCACAGGTCGAGTGGCAAATCTCTCTCTCTCTTACACACACACCCCAAGTCAAAGTCCCTAGTAACCAAGGCTAGCCAAGTTATTTTTGGCTTTTGATCCAAAAAAGGACGTATCCCTCTTCCCAGCAATAAAATGCAACAGTAATAAAACACACACCAGATTGCTGCCCAGTCAACTCACTTCACCCAATGGCAAGGACAGTCTGTCTCCTAAACCTTTGGTGTCATGCACAAGTAAGAACGTAAGAAGAGCTTACTGGATCAGGCCAATGGCCTGTCTAGGCCAACAGCTTGTTCTCACAGTGGCCAACCAGATGCCTGCAGGAGGACAGCAAGAAGGACCTGAGCACACCAGCACTCTCCCCTGCTACAGTTCCAGCAACCAGTCTTCAGAAACATCATGCCTCCAACAGTTGGAGGTAGAGCATAGCCATCCGGGTTAGTAGCCATTACCATCTGTGAGTTTGTCTACTCTTACCAAGTTGGTGGCCACCTGTGCCTCTTGTGGAAACCAATTCCATAGTTCAGCTGTGCACTGAGTGAAGAAGTACTTTCTTCTGTCTGCCCAAATCTTCTAACATTCATCTGTGAGCACAACGGCTTTTCAGCTAAATTGGGGACATAGGATCATAGACTTGTAGAGTTGGAACATGGAAATCTTCATGGATATATCCAGCCTCTGATGAAACATGCCTCTTGGATGGGTGCCGCTGTGGTCTAAACCACTGAGCCTCTTGGGCTTGCCGATCAGAAGGTTGGCGGTCTGAATCCCTGCGACGGGGTGAGCTGCTGTTGCTCAGTCCCAGCTCCTGCCAACCTAGCTGTCCGAAAGCATACCAGTGCAAGTAGATAAATAGGTACCGCTGTGGTGGGAAGGTAAACGGCATGTCTGTGTGTGCTGGCACTCATCACAGTGTCCCGTTGTACCAGAAGCAGTTTAGTCATGCTGGCCACATGTCTTGGAAAACTGCCTGTGGACAAACGCCAGCTCCCTCAGCCTGAAAGTGAGATGAGCCCCGCAACCCCATAGTCACCTTTGACTGGACTTAACCGTCCAGGGTTCCTTTACCTTTACCTTTTAAAATACACCTTTTCAAAAGGATGCAAAGTTGTTTGCAAAGAGAAATGAAACATGGTCCTTTTACCAAACCAAGTGAGCTGATCCTCCCTCCCTGTAATATAGCTGTGCCAGTTTGATTGACTAGAGCAGAATGTGAATGAAAATGTGCATTCAAACGTACATCACATTGGAAGTACAGATGGGTGACAATAATATTCTGGGGCATGTAGGGATGGAGGCACAGACTTAATTTGCACTTCTCAAATTAATCCATGAACCAAAGCACACAGCTATCCTTCAAAATGCATGCTTCTCTGAATTTTGCAATGCTGTTCTCCAGCCAGAACACAGTTTCAAGAATACATATGTTAGAGCTAGAGAAAGGGTACATAAAAATGCAAATATTAGTGAAAATGCCATACAAAAAAAATACACAAAAAAGAAAATTGCATGCAAAAATGTGTTTAATTGAAGGAAAGTGCACAAAAATGTAGAATTATCTCTTTTTGCAAAATTGTAAGCTGATGTAGGAAGGTGGCAAACTGATCTGAAGACTGGAAAAATGAGAAAGAGAGAGAAACCGAAAGTGACAGATTCATCCATCCCTAGGGGCATATATGGGTGCTGTGCCACCAATCCATAATGCACCAAATATGCACACCCACATCCTGTAACATGGAGTCATGTGCAACTATGCACAACGAGAGCTGGATCAGGATGAACATGGACATGGGCATGTTGTGGTGCAGGGCTGGCAAACAATGGAATTGCTGCCACTGCAGCAGAACAAGAAGAAGTGCCTGGGCCACAGTCACCCAGGCAACAAGCATGTTCCTGCCGTCCCCCCTGAACAAGCAAGAGGAACAATGGCTGTGATCAGGCAAGAAAAACAGCAAAAGAGTGAAAGATAGCCCCCGCCTACAAATATTTTCATATTCCCTAAATGGCAGCCTTCTTGATGAAAAGCAAACCTCATGAAAATTCAGCACAGAGCTGCTGGTTTGTCTGATACACCTGGTTCCAGAATCCCAGACCAATTTCTTAGCTACTCTGTGCTAAACTGTTACCGAGCGGGACAATGACCAATCAAAAGGGAACAACTAAACTGGAAAGATGGCTTGATTTTCTTGGTCTATCATTCCATGTGTTTCTGCAGATCTCTGGTCTTCTTTGGAGAGAAAAGGGCGGAGACCTCTTTTGTGTACTTGAGTCTGTGTGTTGTTTTGGAGAAAAGACAAATAAGAAGATGCATGATAAAATAATTAACTGCACAGAGGTGGAATGTAGAAAGGGACTTTTCTTTTACTCGTTTTCAACTTACAGCATTCAGAATGGCAAGATGTCTTGGTGGGCATCCACCAGCTCTGGAGGCTTTAAGAAGACCAGATGAATGGATGGATATAAGGTCTACCAAATGAAATTTGCTATCATAGCTAGGTAGCATTTCCATAACCAGAGGCACCACACTTCTGTAAATCAGCTGCTGAGGAAGAAGAGTGGGAGAAGGCTATCCCCCACATGCCCTGGTTTTCAGCTTTTCGGGAGCATCTAACTGGTAAATGTTGGAAAACAGGATGCCAACCTAGGTGGATCATTGACCTAATCCTCAGGGCTCTTCTTAAGTTGTTAACCACCTCGGTAGCTTGGAATGTCTACTGACCAAGTTGTTTTCAGGGGTGCAATGCTCTGCATAGGGATTGCATGTGTTTCTTTATCTGTGTGATGTGCACAAGTCACACAGGATCAAAGCACAGCCTCTCCCACTTCCCATTTGCACAGCAGAGGCATCCCAGACTGTGCTGCAGCCCAGACATGGGAGCTGCATGAGAAACACCACTGCAAGTCTACCTTTCCTCCTCAAATACATCTTTCTGCACTTCCAGGGGTACAGTAACGTAGGAATCAGAACATGGGGACTTCCTTTATGAAAGCATATTGAGAAGAACTGAAATATGAACGTATTTTTGGAGCTGGCAGCAGCAGACTGAACAGAGTTCAGCTTCCTCACGTGTGTCCCTCTGATTCAGCTTATGGCAGTAATCAGGCCCACTAAATTAGGTGCTAGGGGCCTGAATTTCATATCCTTATCTGGGAACAACCAGCAAAATCTCAAGCATACAGTTCAGCCGTACAATTTTCTGCCAGATGGTTGGAAGGAAATAATCTGCAAATAATAAGCAAGGACTGTAGTGATGTGACATGTGCTGGAGGTATTCAGGCATCATTTACTTGCCAGGGTTTGAAAGGCTTGCCATTGGGAGCCATAAATTAAGAGCATGGCAGGGCATGTAACCCACTGAAAAGGAATTCTTGTGAAATAAGAAATTCCTGACACTAATACTATCAGCCTGTTTACCTGCCATCTGTCACACTTCAAGGACTTCTGCATTACCTATTGATGAAAGGAACCTGGACCAGCCAGGAATGTTTAGACACATATGACTTTCTGAATTTACATGGCACACACATGTACAAAATCTGTACACATGGGCACAAAATAAATAGCATATGCTTGTACATGTGCACAGAGTTATTTACTGGTGTGTGCTTTTCTTTTTGTAAATCTACTAAAGAATAAAATAAAATAGGGAGTAAGGGGTTTTCTCAGGACAGTGGTGTGCTAGTGGTGGGGGCATTTATCCCTCTTCTGGTAGGAAATGTTTTGCGGGGGGTGAGGTGATAACAAAAAATGGGGGGGTCAAGGAGGGTCAAATGTCCCTATTATCATCTGAGGAATGTTGGAGGATATGCCATGCACACTTACCTGGGAGAAAGTCCAGTTAAATTCAGTGAGGCTAACTTCTTAGTTGACATGTATAGAATTGAACTGCCAGTAGCCTAATGGAGCCACAAACCCAAATCTCTAATGTCTCAAAAATATTTGCTTATGTAAGAGTGAGGTTATTCCTCTTATGCTGTTGATTGAAAATCAAGCACTGTGCATTTGTCTCAGCAGAGCCTGCGATTGCTCAGTAATTTCTGTGTCAGTCAAACTGAGCGCTTCTGTATACAGGTTTGTCTTTGGTGTTTGTTTTAAAGTGTCACAGTGCTGAATTCAGAAGGGCCAGCACTGAAGTTTAGTAAGATGTTTAAAAATATAACAAGTACTTTTTATTTGCCATTCCGCTTGTCAGCTATAAACCAAGCTTTCTTCATCTCTTTTTTCCTTTCAAGGTGTCTTTTAGAACATGTTCATTTCTTTCTTGCCAAACAGAAGCGTTGTAAATACTACAGGTTTCCTAACTGCAAACTAAATCCCGCTAAGCCGCAAGGCTGCAATCTCTGGTTTCATTAAAGACGCCAGTCCTGGGACGGGACTCCTTGGATATTCAGTCCGAAGAAGTGATATGTGCAGACAGGAGACAGCACAGATGCACAGCTGGAACTTTGCTTGCTCTTTCTTCCGCTGTGCTCCTCACTCAGGGGTGCCAACTTGAGTAAAATATGGGGGGGGCAGGTAAACCCCACTGCACATAATTGATCACGTTGCCGTGCACATATACAATTTCAATGGCAATGCCCATCAACTTGGGTTGTGTGTGTGTCTCCCTCAAATACTTTATTGGGGTACAGAAGGGATCTCAGCCCCTCACAGTTGGCTCCTATGTCCCCACTACCAGAAAGCCAAGACAAGGAGCAGGTTCAAAGGCAGGCAGGCTCTCTCTTGTGCAACAGTGATGGTCAGAGAGCCCTGTCATCCCCATTTCAGCTTAAAAGAAGCTCAGGTGGAAGGAATTGTTGAGGAACAACAGCAACAACAACACAAAACAGAAAATAAATTCTATGTTCTGGAATTTATTTATTTATTAGAAATAAAATCTCAATCAGTTTTAAAGATGCTCAGGTAGAAGGAATTTTTGAGGAACAGGCACAAAACAGAAAATAAATTCTATGTTCTGGATTATGTTTTGTTAGGAATGCAGGAAACTGCCTCATACTGAGGCAGATCAATGGGTCCATCTAGTTTAGTATAGTCTGCACTGACAGGCAGCTGCAGTGCCTCTCCAGGATTCCAGGCAGATATCATTCCTAGCCCAACCAGGACAGGTCGGGGTTTGAACCAGGGAACTCCTGCATGCATGTCAACTGAGCTGGAGCCTTTCCTTTATTGACTTGTTTCCTTCCCCACGTCTCTGCAACAAATGCGGTGTACAAAGCAGTATACAGACATGCCTCCTCAAAAGTAAGTCCCACCCTGTTCAATGGATCTTACTCCCTGGAAACTGGGTATGGGATTGCAGCCCCAGGCGAACAAACCTCCCAAGGCTTTTCGTCTATAGCGTCAAAACAGGCATCTGCACGTTTCTTGGGAGAATCACACCTAACGCTAATAATAGGCCTGCTCCATGATACAGGCTATAAAACCCTTTCAGAACATCAGGCACGATGCCAGCATGAGTCCTGTGCTGCTTTCTGATGGATTGTAGCTGAAATTATTATAGTGCGGCTATGTAGCCAAGTGACTGTAATGAAGAACAGTTGACTAGAGCTCAGTTTTGGATTCTGCCACAGGCTCGTCGGGCGCCTGTGGACAAGCTTTCCCAGCCCAGCTCTCACTCACAAGTTACTTCCATCTCTGGCAGAAATGATATTTGTGTGTGTGTGTGTGTGTGTGTGTGTGTGTTGTGAATTCAGAAATGTTCAGTCCTTGGGCCAGCTGCTGCGCAGTGCACAATTCAGACAAGACACAGGGCAAGAGGACTTGTGGTATGAAGAAGAAATGGGAAAATGGTGACTTTATTGAATTTTAGGGATTACACAGAGTGCCAGCAATCAGAATAAAGATGGATGGGGCAGTAGGAAATATAGTATTTTCCTGGATAGATAGCCTACATGTGAAAAGATTTCCAAAAAAAAGTGTGTGAAAGGATATTGTTTGGAGAATATGCATACTCGAAATGTACTAAGAATGTGTCAAGAATGTTTTCACAGGCAAACCTCAGCCTTGAGCCAGTTTGATAGAGAGTAGCACTCTGTACTTCTAGCTGAATCAGGCATCTGATAATGCAGGCATGCCTTCCCTCGGAGAATGTGACTTAGTTTCTACGCATATATAAAGCTAAGGCGAGGGAATGCCTCCGTATAAACCTGTGTAATTTATAGGCTACTGTTCTCACCAAGCGAAGCTGCTTCAAACATCACTGTGTGGTGTGTTTATTGAAGAACTCCACCACAATGCGGAATGCATCATCTCTTTGTAGGGCAAATCTGGCACTGGATCCATGAACTCACTGTTCTGTGGCTAGCATTGTCTTCATGCTAAATGCATGCAGAGGGGACGCCTGTTAGCTTCACTACTGGCCAGTGTTTGGTTTCAAGAGAGCCCCAAGGCAGCTCCCTCCCAAACCCTTTGAGCAGGCCAGCAATGAGAAGTAGGTTGGGAAGCTGTCACTTCATCAAGAAGGTTCTGCAGGAATAGGGT